CCTCTGCTACGGCTACTGGAAGAAATTTGCTGATCTGGAGCGTCGTGCCGGGTATAAAGACAAAGCAGAGGAGGTAAGGCAGAAGAAAAGAGCTTACAATTGTTTGATTCTTTTTCCACACACTATTAAAAATAATTGTAAGTGTATTTAGACGTTTTCCACCCTGTTTTTTTTAAATGCTAATGTTCATGGTTTTGGTGTGTGTTGTTCCAGGTGTGTGTTCAAGGTCTCAAGGTGATCCCTCTAAGTGTAGATCTGTGGATCCACTACATCAATCTGCTGCTGGGAACACTGGACATGAACCTGTATGATTCGCCTACACGTATTCGAAGGTAGATGAACACTTTCACACACACCTTTTTTTAACTGGGCTTTTTTTTTTTTTGCGTAGGTTTTTATACCACATGCGAGATTAGAAGTTAAAGAAAATAAACCACTGGACGGCAATCAAGCTGGCATTTTTTTTAAGCTTTTTTGACATTTCAAATATTTTCCAATCTGGACCCTTAGTGTGTTTGAGGATGCGGTGGCAGCGTCAGGTCTGGACTTCCACTCAGACAGGCTCTGGGATCTTTACATCGAGTGGGAGAAGGAACAGGGGAACATGAGGAACGCAGCAGCCGTCCTAGACAGAGTCCTCAAAGTCCCCACCCAGCTCTACAACACCCACTATGACAAGTAAGACCACACACACACCAGCATTTCTTAAAATAATATTATTTAACCCTTAAATCAACTTTGGTCCTCTGGGTATCCTCCTCTTCTCCTCTGGCTCCAATACCTGCTTTTTCTTTTTCCCTTCTTTCAACATTTTCTTCTTATGTCCACCTCCTTACCTTTTTTCTTCTGTTAGGTTCAAGGAACACTTGAACAGCCACGAGCCCAAAGAGGTGCTTACCCAGGAGGAGTACGAGGAGCTGAGGACATATTGTCGTCAGAGTCAGAAGGCAGAGCGTGCTGAACAGGCCCAGGAGGAGGAGGAGGAGAGACCACCGGGGGAGGAGGAGCCTGTTACACCAGAGGGCACAGACACTGTCAGTACCATTGTGTATTCAATCAGAAAATTCTTCCAATATTTATTGTATAAACACACAAATGTAAACATAGGTCAAATTTTAAAATAATGTCTCTGTATAGGAGGAACTGATGCAGAAGATCAGGGAACAAGTGCTGCTTCGAAGGGACAAAGTGTACCAGGACAACGAAGGAGAAGTCCGCAAGAGATGGAACTTTGAAGATGCTGTATGTATTGTTTTTTTTTATCCAATCTTCTCGACTCTTGTCAGTTGATCATGGCATGAAAAACTTTATTTTCAAGGCATTTGTCCATGATAGAAATGTAAGATCAGTTTGATTCCAGAGTTTTGGCTCATATAATTTAAGTGTACCAAAGCCCCTTTTGATGCAGTTTAAGAAGCTGAACTCAGATGGTCTGTAATAACCAAAATGATTAAGGATCAAAATGCTTGATCCAAAACAGCAGCTGCTGTGCATTTTACAACAGTTGTTACTGTAATCCCAGGCCTGAAGAGCGAAATCGTTCTACAAACCAGAACCCTAAATTCCTTTTTTGTCTGCATCGTCTACACAAGACCAAAAATATCACCAATTTAAATGTTCTTGGCATTGAAATTGTTTACAGTAGAATCATTGCTATTTCAAGGTTTTAATGGAAAGAAAAGAGCTGAAATTAGTTTTATTGATAAAGTTGCTAACTATTTCTATTGTTGGCTGCAGATTAAACGCCCATACTTCCACGTCAAGCCACTAGATCGGCTTCAGCTGCGGTCATGGCACTCATATCTGGACTGGGAGATTGCTCAGCTGAACAAGGACACGAAAGACCCTACTTCAGGTGACTAAACAACAAAGCTCACAACTATATCATACACTCTCCGGGATCCTGTGGACATCTGAAAGAGACCACAGTTTGTTTTTCTTCTTCTAGATCAAAATGAGGCAGCTACAGAGGAGTCAGAGGTCACAGCCCAGCCACAGGAGGGATCAGAGGATTCTGGGGTTGCCCATGATGACCACAGGGTTCGAATCCTCTTTGAGCGCTGCCTAATCGCCTGTGCTCTGTATGAGGAGTTCTGGAACAGGGTAAGGAGAGAAGTGTATGGGACGGGACCAATAAGAGAAAGCACAAAAAAAAAAAGGGCATATTATAAATGTATTTGTATATCTTTGTATTTGTCGTTCAGTACACTCAATACCTGGAGGCTCAGAGTGTGGACGAGGCACGGGCTGTTTACAAACGAGCCTGTGAGATCCACTTGACATACAGACCCAACATCCACATGCAGTGGGCCACCTTTGAGGAGAGGCACGGTAAGACAACATCAAATCACATACACTCTACAATCCCAACTGTATCTCTTTCTTCTTTCAGTGACATTTTAAATGTTTTTCATCAGTCTTACTTTTCGGCTTAACAGTCAAGACTACTTGTTTTGGGTGTGTAAACATCTTTTCATCACTGAAAGAGCTGTTTACACATTGAGTAAAGAAGCGTCAAAGTAGACTAAAAATAAATGATCTCTTAATTTAAATTTGTAGTCCATGTTTACAAATTTGCATTCTTCCAGCCTATTCTTGGTGCAACTAAAAACTGAGTGACTCTAATCTACAGACTCTAAAATAGGTTAAACAAGGGAAGAGGGGATCAATGATCAATGAAAAACACCTCATGACAAAGCCATCTAAAAATAGAACTTAATCTTACTCTTAAAGACACTTATGTCCCATGTCATGAACCTCCCACACATTGAAAATCCTTGCCCACCCACCGTCTCCACCAGGTGACCTAACAGAGGCTCGGCGAGTGCTGGAGGCCCTGGAGAAAACCCTGCCTGGGTTGGCAGTCGTCCGCCTTCGCAGGGCCGCTTTGGAAAGACGAGATGGTCAGCTGGACCAATCGGAGGCCTTGCTTCAGGAAGCGGTGGCAGAGTCCAAGGAGAATCCCACGTTGCACGCTTTCTACTCAATCAAACTGGCTCGTCTGCTGCTGAAGGTGGGCAGAAACCCCAGCAGAGCCCGCGGGATCTTACAGGACGCTCTGGAGATCAGTCCGGTGAGATCAGTGACCCACACTCCCAAATTTGCCCTTCAATGTAATGTTTGTATTGTTTCATCTACTATTTGATTTGCACTCATCACTTCACATTTGATAAATAGATTATGTTGGGCCATTGCTAACTTAAATCCCCCTCATACATCCATGTTTATTAATTAAAAGATAAAGTATCTCTAGTTTTTGATTTCCTCTGTCTTCCCCTACCTACCTCAGGACAATGACAAACTGCACCTGAACTTGTTGGAGCTGGAGGTGTCGGGGGACCCCTGGGCCTCCACTGAGGCGGTGCAGGAGTGTGTGACGCGAGCTCTCGCAGCTCCCCTGGCCCCACACACCAAGATCCTCTTCTCACAGAGAGGTCTGCAGTTTGCAGAGGACTACAGCAACTCTATTCAAAGGTCAGAAGTCCTCTGATTGGTCATAATTACCCTCATGGTACCTTATCAGAATCTGAAATACTATGTTTATTCCAGGGGGAATTTGGTTGTTATAGTTGCTCTTAAACACACACACACCATTCATCATCTTACTGTTTCTTCATCTTCTGATTTTGTCCTCTACAGTGTGCTGTCTATGTATGAAGAGCACCAGAAACTTCTAAAGGAGCTGGGTGGAACAAAAAGAGGAGCAGAGAACGGGTGAGAAGGATATACAGACTCCATATATATATATATATATATATATATATATTGTTTTTTAATTTGTTTTTTTCTGTACTGTACACCTCCACTTGATGCATGAAATTGAAGATAAGATCATTTTATCTTTCCCAGCCGAGGAGGAACTGTTGAAGACAAATAACATTTGAAGTCTGCTGTGAAACAAATATTCACATTTATTCCTGAAAAACGTATTTGCTTTTTAGGGACGAGGACCCAGAAAAGCTCAGCACAGGCGACGACGGCTCTGCTGCTGATGTGTCTGAACAAGTCCCACCTACCATGCCGCACGTCCCCATCACTACACCTCCTCCTCCTGTGATGGGTGCCGACATGAGTGCACAGGCCGGCTATGGGGCATATAGCAGCTGGTACCAGGTAGGGTTAGAAATATTAAGCAAACAGCAACATTTAGAAAATAGACTTTTGATTCTTCTGATCCTCTTGCACCTTAAATGATAAATCTGAACGATTTTGGTTTAACAAGTTATATTTAAGATGTTGTGTACTTATTGCCTGTTTGTTGGTTCTTTTCTAGCAGCCGCAGTACGGTAGCTATGGTTACCAGAACACCTGGAACTACAACCAGGGCTACTATCCTCCCAGCTAAAAGAGTTGACAGTGTTTTGGACACTAAATCAGTTGGACCTGGGAAGATTTCTCAGCTGAACATCAAACTGAACTTTACAGTGCTGCAGGTCCACCTGCTGGAAAAAAAATAACATCCCAGCATCCTTTCCTCACCGTCCTTCCTCTGAAAAACCTCACTGTCCTGGATTTTTTTTTTTAAAGAAAGGCTACCTCATTTGAGGTCTTTTAAAAATTTCTGTCATTTTTGATTGTTGTTTCTGATGGACACGATTGATGATGAAAGGATACCGTGACACCCATTGTCAGCACATTAGTGTGTCTCCATTTTAATTGGAAATATTTTTGTATTTGATAGCAACTCCTTGGCTCCACATTTAAAGGCATCCAGCTTTATTGAAATTGACAGCTGATGGACGATTGATATTTTTTACCATTCCAGAATAGGATATTTGTTTTTTCTAATGTACATAAAGGTGTTTTATAGTGTGTCAAAAAGAGTTGTTTTGTGTGGCTTGTCTGTTTACTCGCACTTCTGCAGCAGCTCCATATGAATTAAGAGCAGGGGAAGAAAATGCCAGGATTAGTTCTGGTGAAAAAAGTGACCCCTGTGTTAAGGATTAAAGAAAAACATGAAATCATGTATGACTTGTAAAAAGAAATGCAGTCCACCATCGTAATTCTCAGTCAGCTTTATTGTAAGTAGATTTGTAATGATAATGCAGACAGAAGTTTTGATATATTTTAACTTAAAAAAAATGGCAAAATATGTCAAAATCAGGAATATCAGAACTGTTTCAGTACTTCTTATGTGGTACTTTGCTATTTAAGGATCAGGATAAAATTGAATTCTTTAGTGTACTGTTTCTATGTGATGTTGAAAGTAATATCTGTTTGAGGCCAGCAATCTTCACTTCACTCTTGAGTGAGAAGGAATAACTCTCCACCCCCCTGTATACAAACCACCTATATCGAGTTTGAGGCATCATTCAGTGAATTAACCAATCAGTTTTATATTCTTACTTTCAAAAAGTTGATTAAAAACAGTTAAAACGCCATGTGAATGCAACCTCAAACCAAATCTCTCTGCTTCAGTTCAGTTCGCTTGCTTATTGAGTGAATCTTAAAGGTTGTGGCTCTGTTCCCAGATCAGTGTTGTGTCTGTTGTCTCTAGTTGATGATGCAGAGGGGATGAGGTAGGCTCAAAGACCAGGTCATCCTGTTCTCACTTTTTGGCAACCACCAGCACAGCTGAAGGCACCAGACCTTAAAAAAACAAAGAAAAAAGCAGAAATGAAAATCACACTGAGAGTCGAAACGGGCCAAAATAGTGCTCAACAGGCGAAGGCAATCGTCGAAAATAAAACTTAGCTCACCCAGTTCCTTGAGGGGCTTCTCCATGTCCATTTCAGTGTAGACATGACGGGGGTAGGGCGACAGAAGCGTGAAGTCCTGACCCTCAAGTATGTTGCTGTTCATCTGAATGTAGACACGCACTGCCGCCAGCGGCTCCTGAGCCTTAAAGACTGTTGTAAGGGTCGAGCCGTCCACCAGGCGTACCTTCAGAGCAGAAAGTAGAAAATAAGCTAATGTAGTAATGCGTAATGAATATCTGTTGACATAATGTTAACAAGTGAGGTCTCTAAATGTGCTGTTTTGATACAAGGATGGACAACAGTTGTATGCGAAATGTGATTTGTGGAGAGAACAGCAGCATTCAGGAGTAAGATTGTAACTGAAGCCTGTACCTGTATCTTGGACTCATCATACTCCTTCTTAGTGGGTGGAGGTCCGTGACTGGTGGGTGATGAAGGACTGGGCTCAGCTGGCTGTGACGATGTGGCCGTGCTGGTGGTTCCAACACCTCCAAACTAAACAAGTTTAAAAAAAGATATATTGTTGTAAGCAGTTGTTGGTTCCAAAATGTTTTGATTAGAAGTGTGAAGGTAAGAAAGGATGAGTAAAGAGCCCAATGATCCAGTTACCTTCTGTGCTCTCTCCTCTCTGTCTCGTGCAATCTTGTCTTTAACCCTCTGCCTGAAAGACAGAAACACATCAGGTCAGCGAGAGTCATGAAGAAAGTAGAGCAGGTCGAAAGCTTTACATACTTTGACAGTCTAAGGGATCAGATACTTGTACCTTCTGAGAGGAAGTGTCCACTACCATCTTGAAAACCCAGTTTTGTTAAAGGTAAAATAAATATATATATATATATATATATATCTTTAAAATATTCCTACATTCCAAATATCTTGTTTGCAGTGAGTAACACGGCCTTAACAAAATACAGACTATAACAAAACCTCTTCATTTCTGGCCTCTCTCCATACTGTTAAACATCAATATCTTCTGTAATAGTTGACCTGCAACTTCACACAACCCCTGAAAGAACTCGGACAAGATGAGTGACGACCTTAAGATTGATTCATTTTTAGCTTCAATGAATCTACGTAACACTACTGACGAACAAAAAGACAAGTTAATAACTGAAAAAATAGAGAACTGTACGCAGCAAAGATTCCCAGCTTTAATAACCCACCTAGCCATATCAGAGGTAAATGTAAAATTAAATAGGATGCTGAACCTATGCAGGTATCAGGGGATCAACTTGTCAAAAGATGTCACTATTTGACCTTAATCACACTCCATTAAACTCAAATCTCAATTTTTTTGAGTTTGAGCTCCAGAGTAGAGTCCATTCAAATTAACATTCTGCTACAATTGCTTCATCTACTCCATACTCTTGACGATACAGACTCAACTCATCATGAAATTGAGTGTGATCAAATCGAGATACTTATGGCAAGGGATAAACCGAGGATCAGGTCTTAAACTTTATCATCATTAGGCAGAGAACGTGATGGTATCGGCCTCCCCTCCTCACAAGAATCTCACTCACAGTTAAGGCCGTTGATTCGCTTGTGTTCACCAGTATATTCTGCACCATAAGGTAAAAGGTAAAACTGGGAATCAAGTGAAGATCGTCTGATTATTAGGATGGTACATTTCACTTTTTTCATGAAAAATTTTCATTTTTGCCTCATTGAAATACATGTTACAGAGGAGTTCAAAATGTTCTTTTAAAAGAAGGAAAATTGTAGAGACTTAAACTGTCTTTGTGTGTCTGTACTTTATCATTTTATTCCCACTGGTTTATGAAAAGTGCTGAATAATTTGAGTTTCGATGAGTTTCCGACCTTGCTAATTTGTCCTCCATCTTCTCTCTCCTGCGCTGATCAGCGAGTTTTTTCATATCATCGTCCTGTATCTTTTGGCGAATTTGCTGAAGCTCTTGGCCCTGTCTCCGCCTCTGCTTCTCCCTTTCCAACTCTTCTGCACGCTCTCGCTCTCTTCTCTCTGCCTGCTTAGCCCGCATCAGATCCTCCAGCCTGAAAAACAAACACCAACAATTCAGCTACTTCCATGAAAGACCAGGCGTTTAGCATTTTTAACCTTTCTTACACATTATGATCTCTCTAAGCAGAAGAAGAAGGAATAAAAAAAAAAAATCAGTTGTCGTTTTCTCTAATTATGTTAACATTGTTGGGTAAGGAGAAGAAGCGGTAGGTTGGACATTCAGTACAGATGGGATGCTTTGTGTCTGTGCTGAGTAAACTCAAACCTTCTAACTTGCTCTAGTCTCTCCTCCTCCGACATTGGCTTCTTTAAACTCTCCTCAATTTCCCTTTGGGTGCTGTCTCCACCAGCGGTCCCTGAAGTGAAAACAAAAGCACACAAGAAAGAGAAAGAAACAGAGGTTGAAATGTGTTTCATGTGGTACTGCAATGTCTCACTCTCGACCACTAATCAAAGCAAAAGTCTAATGCTAACCTAACACACTTAACACCTTCACAATCAGTGTGGTCAAAGAAATCCACTAAGAGGTGAAGAAACCAAGAAAACGTTTCATATGAACTGCCTTGGTGGAATAAACCACAAGAGAGTAGACATGAGTACAAAGTGAGTTTTCTTTTTTTCCTTCCTGACCTTCAGCTGTGTCTGCTAGTGTCAGCTGATCCGTGGTGGACTGGCTGTCTGCTGCTCCTCCAAGGACGTTCGCTGCAGGTGGCACATAGGGCTCATCGATATCTGGGTCGTTCTCATGTTCCATTAGCCTGAAGAAAAGAAAACTGAACAGTTAAAAAAAAAAAAAAAAAGCTGCAAAACTGCTTCGTTGATCACCAGATGGTGGAGGGTCTTCATCATCTAAGCAGTTCAACGCTGACTCACCAGTCCATGGCTGGTTCTATTCCCATGTTTCCTGTTTTGGCCACCGCCTTTTCCCTGAACACATAAGAGAAAGTTAAAATAGGTTCTCTAAACATTTTTTTTAACAGTTTCACTTTCATTTTCTTGGTAGATGTCTCAAATTGTGGACCAGGATGATATTTGGATATGGTGTGACTCACGCTCTGTTTTTGTCAAAACCCATCTCCAGCAGACTCTCCAGTGTTGTTAACTCTGCCATTTTGACCTGAAACATAAACATAAACATAAACTTTTGACTTATAATTATACCACTATTGTTGTTGCCTTATAATTATACCACTATTGCTGTTAACACAAGGTAAACTGCATAACTGAGCCTTACTTCTAACCCAGTTGTAGAGAAATGAACTATCTTCAGGTAATGTAGCTCATTGCTGTGTGAATGAGCTACATTACCTAAATAGTCAGACTAAAGACAACAGGAACAAATTAATGTATTTCATTGTCAAGCAGCCCGATATAAACATCTTTTATTCTTAAATATGTGCTCTGTAGTTGTCGCTATACATCATCACTGTCGGGATACTGAGTGCGAAAATTAGCATAGAAATCGCTAGCGTTCAAATTAGCTCAGAAACTAGCAGCCTTGTTTCCTAGCTCGATTAAAAAATGACCACAAACTCGTTCAAGCTCTCGATCACTAAAGCTACAAATGTGTGTTTCTATCTAACATTTAAAGACACACGAGTCTTGTTTTATTTGCAGTAGAGATCACAACAGCCTATGTGCTCATGAAGACAACGTTAGTTAGCTACTCACACATCAGTCAACACCGCCTCAGCAGTACGGAAACTCACATGGGTCAAAACGCACAGGAAGAGAACTGCGAAACTTCTTCTTCTTGGTGTTTTCTGGCGGTTGGCAAACAATGTTTTGGTTCACTGCCGCCACCAATTGGTGGATAATAATAATAACTAAAATCTTTAACGTCAAATTTCTTCATTAGTTATTTAAATTAATATCCATAGTCCTGGTACTTGTCCATACAATGTCTTTGTAGAATTTCACGTAGGCCTAAGCCTAAATCCAGTTTCATCTTCATTTTTTAATGTCTCAATGTCAGTTCCCTTCTCTCAGTCTCTTCGGTCCCTTTGGCAGTGAATGATAATGTGTTCTTCTGTTTCCTCTTGTTGAAAGAAAGCACAACTTTTTGAAGGATGTTTCCCTATAGCCTATGTCATTCTTGTTTTGCCAACTTGACAGCCTCCTCATTTCCCCTCAGACCTATGTGCTGAAGCCCACATACACACAACTGACATACCTTGTTGAGGGATTCTGGAATATACTTGCATTACTTTAAACATGATATCTTGTCGACTGGAGTAGAAGGAGCTCACGCTCTTAAAACTGACACACAATCACAGCATATTAAGAGCTTTCTAGATTTATTCTTTTCTACCCGCTGTAGAGACAAAAGTACTGCAGCACCTTTATTGTAGTGTCTTTTTATTGTTGTAATAATGAGTTTGCAGCATTTTACGGGGTTATGTCCTGTTGCTAGACTTTCACAAATATACAATGAATTAGTAAGTATACAATGTGCAATATTTACCTCAAAAGAGTAAAAGTATAAAGTACTATTACATTCTGGTGAAGTGTACTTACCTTTGGCCTACTATTAAAAAGTAGGCCTACTTGAGTAAATATACTAAGTTACATTTCTCATCTGGTATATGTTTTTAGGTGCAGCGACCTTTGGACATTATCAGACACTTTTACAAGTCTGTAAAAGTAGGTTTTAAGAAGGGATTTAAAAGAATTGAGGGAATCTGCGAGTCTTATCTCCTCAGGCAGGTTGTTCCAAAGTCAAGGAGGTTGATCCAAAGTCGAGGGGCCCTGACTGAAAAGGCCCGGTCACCTTTAGTTTCAAGTCACGACTTTGGAAAGACCAGGAGGCCTCCACCTGAGGATCTAAGACTGCGGGCTGGCTCATATGGTGTCAGTAGCTCTGTTATATAGCTTGGAGCCAGCCCCGTCCGTGCTTTAAAAGTAATGAGTAAAATCTTAAAATCGATTCTAAAACTTACAGGAAGCCAATGTAATGAAGCTAAAATTGGAGTGATGTGATGTCGTCTGTTACAACCAGTAAGAAGCCTAGCTGCTGCATTTTGGCAGTGACAGTGACTTATTTGTGATTCCGGAAAAGAGTGAGTTACAGTAGTCAAGTCGAGAGGCGTGGATGATCTTTTCAGGGTCTGGTTGGGTTAGTATTGTTTTAATTTTGGAGATGGTGCATAGATGGAAGAAGCATGATCGGACAACTGTTTTGATATGGGATTCAAAGGTGAGATTGCAATCAAATGTTATTCCTAGATTTCTGGTGGACATTCGCGAATAAGGGACCGAGGCTGCTCTTTGAAATATGAGTGGAGTTTGGCGTGTTGAATACTATGATTTCAGATTTAGAATTGTTCAGTTGGAGAAAGTTTTGTGCCATCCAGCAGTTGATATCGTGTAGACAGTTTCTGACAGCAGCTAGGCTCCTAGCATCCTCAGGTCTCAAAGGAAGGTATATCTGTGTGTCGTCTGCGTAGCAGTGAAAGGAGACTTTGTGCCGTTCAATTATTTGGCCAAGAGGCAGCATATAAATGGAGAATAAAATGGGACCTAAAACCGAACCTTGCGGTACACCACAGGTAATGTTAGAGGTAGAGGAGGAGTAGTTACCGATGGTGACCGCAAAGGTTCTTTCTAAAAGATAAGAGTAAAACCAGCTAAGTGCAGTATCCTTTAAACCAACCCATTTTCTGAGACGATCAATTAAAATTGTGTGATCAACAGTATCAAAAGCTGCGCTAAGATCTAAAAGAATTAAAATTGTGCCCTCCCCTCTATCTGCTGCTAAAAGAAGGTCATTGGTTACCTTGAGGAGGGCCGTCTCTGTGCTGTGACAAGCTCTAAAACCGGATTGGAATTTCTCAAAGAGGTTATTTTCAGTCATAAAAGATAAAAGTTGTGTTGAAACCACCTTTTCTAAAACTTTTGATTAAAATGGAAGTTTTGAGATTGGTCTAAAATTGTTAAAATCAGTGGGATCAAGGTTGGGTTTCTTTAAAAGTGGTTGGACCACAGCATGTTTAAAAGCAGAGGGGACTACACCTTCCACCAAGGAACTATTAATAATGGATAAAATACTGGGTCCAACTGTGTTAAAAACCTCTTTGAGAAACGTTGTGGGAATAAAATCAAGGCTGCACGTAGCTGATTTCATGTAGGTTGAAATTTCAGATAAAAAGGTCAGATAAACAAGCTTTATATCCCAATCTTCATAAGTCCCTGAGTTCAAAGAGAATACAATTTGCTGACTTTTATGGGTATCTGTTACATATTTACAGTAAGTGTAATGATTAATTTTACTCCCCCACACACACAGTCTTAAGTAGCCTTGTTTCACAAGTCCACCATTACTCAGGGACGGACTTCAGTCATAGCACGTTCACTTCACTGTGACTTCTCTCCTCTGTCAGACTCTCACTCACTGACTGTTTTTCTCTCTCATTTACCATTCATTCTATTTTGTTTGTTTTATTTTCTTTACATTTTTATTTGTCATATAATTGTGTCCATTGTTTTTGGCTTTTTCCCAACAGAATTAATGACCGAAAAGAGCCTGATGTGCCGTGTTAGCGTGGTGAGTATGACTCTAATGACTCTACTTTTTAATGAAAGTAGTTATAGAAAGCATTCTCAATTCTTTTTAAATATTGATCACATAACATTGAACGTTCATGCTATGATACCTGTAGAATCGTCTAAGATGTCATTTATACCAAGATTAAAATGTAAAACAATGTTTTTTATTCTGTTTGGATTACATTTGAACTACATCAGGTTTACAAGCAACTTGTAGTCTCCACCTATAGTCACTGAAAGTCAATTGATTTTTTTCTTTCATCAGTCAAAAGTCAATCACAGATCATCTTCTGAGTGTGTTTGCTATCTTATTAAAGTAAACTAAATGGCTGGAAATAAAGACCCAAAATGGCTTTTGAGGCAAATCTTGAAAAAAACAAGTTAATTTAGCTCCTGAAGGAACTATTGGTTGCCAGGTAACAAACAGCTCTGTAAATCAAGTTGTCGGGTGATGGCCTTCACCAAGAAACTACGCTGTACCACTGTTGATAGGGCTAAAGTTACTGATATACTGGTATATCTTTCTGTAACCATGATAGCTGTTTTAAATGGGAATCTAAAAACATAGTCTAAAAAAGGTAGTCTCTGTAGATTTTTGTTCCTTTTGTAAATCGAACACCTGTCAATAGAGCAAGAGTGAAGCTTCTTAGTAGTTATTGTATCACAATGTCTTGTTTAAAAATATCATACTCCTCCTTAAACTTGATTAGTCATCAAAGACTAGACCTTTTCTGTTCAGACATAATGTGAAGTTCTTTTATAAACACATCCACTGCAATATTTGTGCTAAGATTTGCAGATTCTCTGAATCCACTGATAAACCGTTCACAGTTGAATTACCTGCTTTTAAAAAATATGGCTCAGTGGGCAAAGTCGAAGAAGACAATAGGGGTGAAGGTCTTTATAATCTACTCTTGAATTACTTTATGGCTTTGTTTTTTTGCAGGATGAAAGGGTCAAAGCTCAGTTGGGATGAGTTAGGAGAGGTTCAAGAAAACTAAAGAGAGGAGGAGTACACAAAGAAACAATACTTGTTCAAAGCCAAATCAATGCCTCCCTGTAAAAGATTAATTTTAATGGACTAAAGGCTAAAATTCATTTGCTGAGATGGCACACCCTCTTGACTCTCAACATAATTTTATTGAGTGAATGACCCTGATTTTATAGGTGTCACCATGTTAAAATGTTTCTTAGAAGCAGTAAAAAAGATCAGGCGATACAAGTGGATAATATTTTACGTTTCTTTATTAGGTTGGGTGGTAATATCACATGAGGGCCCTATTAAAAAATAAAGTAATTTTATTTCATGTGGTTGGGCCAACCAAAGGAGGGCAGTATTATTTCATGTGTGTAACTTTTGTCCTACAGCCGTCATTTAGTTCAAATATTTAGTGATGTGCAAATCTTTAAAGTATTGTTAAGATTTGGCAGTTTGAAGATGTTGCAAAAAAAAAAATCTGCTGGCCTATGTGTCTCTTGAAGTAACAAGAAGCAAATATTTGACTTCAAGAATGGTAGGTCTAAGCAGAAATCTGTACATCTAATAATGTGGTGAAATGAAACTCACCACCACCTGGTTCTCATGATCTGCACACAGTGTCAGTTGTGCTCTTTATGCGGGTCTCACCAGCTGTAACAGCATCTCCATATGGAAAATACTCTGGCTTCCAGTGGAGTTGCTGTTATCTGTGGAGGGACACCTCTTGTCGACAAAAGCCTGCTGCCTGACGGGACACTTTTTAGATTACAGTTCTCACATCATGTTCACAGTTCACACTTGAATCTTGGTTAATGGGCTGTGTACAACGTCTGTATTTGTTTTTCAGATCCTGTGCCTCATTGTATTTTTTTCTGTGCAGTTTTGCTTTTCAATAAAATAAACTTAAATCCCTTAAGCCCTGTAGCCTTTAAGTTTACGTCTGTTTCTATATTATATTGTTCATATAAAATAAATATATCTATTGTATTCCGTGTGTGTGTTACTGTGTGAGAAAAGAGGGAAAAACCTGTATGCCTGAGCAAGCCCCTTTACAGTAGCTGTCTAAAATAACTACACAAATACATAGGCCAGTAAATGAATATGAGGCAACATTTACAGTAAATGATAAAAATATACAGACATTTTCTTTTAAATGGGAAGTTTATTGTAATATGAAAACAAAACTGAAAATACAAGTAGGAGTCACTGTCACACTTAGGCCTATGTGTGTGTGTGTGCAGCATGCACGGTTTGATAGAGAAACAAGAAAATTGCAACATAATAACTGATTTATATGCTGCTTTAATGAGAGGCAAATTCATATACGTAATATTCGGTTGTTTAAAGAAAAATATAAATGTAAAAATCCTTCTCGGGTTTTATACAGAAAATTAAAATAAATTCAATACGAAATAGACATTACAATATACACTGAAACCAAATAAAACATTATTGCTGTGTTAATAAAAAAAAAGCTAACATTGTGGACCCTTGAAGGTGATGAAAGTAACAAATAAAGACACTGCCAAATATTACAAAAAAAACAAAAACATACGAAATAAAAGGCACAGGCTTTTATTGTGAAGGTTGTGCTAAGCTGTTCCGGTGAGTGCGTGCCTTCTTTGGTGGGGTTCCCCAACTGACAGCTGGTTGCTAAGCGAATTAGCCGACGTTTTCACTTCAGCCATCGCGTCGCACTTGAAGCTACTATATTGAGTTACGGAGCGCTAAATATTGATGGTGGATTGAAAGCTGTGGCCTTTTTTTTTTCCCACAGTAGCCAACGTCAGTCGAGGAGGGTGTTATCGCTGAATGACACACGGTGGTGGTGGTGGTGGTGTGGCTAACTAGCGAGTAGGAGGGTGGGGACAAAAAAAAAAAAACTTCCAAAGACCTCGCCCAGCCGTCGCTTCATTCCAGCAGGCAGCTTACTCTCTTCACGGCGAGAGCCACACACACACACACACACACACATCATTCAGATTGTTACTAGAGAGTGATACTGACACACACTGTATCAGTCAGTATGTTCAGAAAAAACATGAAGAAGGATCCAGAGCTGTTTCAGAACGTGTCTGAAGGGCTGCGGCGCCTCTACCGGACCAAGCTGTTCCCGCTGGAGGACACGTATCGATTCCACGACTTCCACTCCCCCGCTCTGGAAGACGCCGACTTCGACAACAAGCCCATGGTCCTCCTGGTGGGTCAGTATTCCACCGGGAAGACCACCTTTATCCGGCACCTCATGGAGCAGGACTTCCCCGGTATGCGGATTGGCCCCGAGCCGACTACGGACTCTTTCATCGCGGTGATGCACGGCGACCAGGAAGGGGTGATACCCGGTAATGCCCTGGTGGTCGACCCCAAGAAGCCCTTCCGCAAACTCAACGCCTTTGGCAACGCGTTCCTCAACAGGTAATAATCGTGCCAAGTCGTGAAACCTCTTTAAAAAAACAAGCTTTCACTGAGCAATTTGAAAAAATGTAATACCTAGGGGTACGTGGTTTGAGCCCGGAAGTGACTGACACTCATTCATTAATGTATGAATGAAAATAATTAATGTCAACTTTATATGATTCTTGTTTTGAAATATAATTAGGAAATCCAGCCGTGTGGTAAGAAGTGTGTCATAACAATACATCACCCACTAGTTTAAATGCCCTCTCGACACGTCCTTACACGTACCACACTCTTTCAAGGTAAACTCGCAATATGCTGTTGTGCAATGATCCCAGCTGAAGAACAGCCAGTTGTGAAAGTAACTGAGAGAATTCAAGTGTTAAGTGTCAATAGGTAGGGGAGAGAGCCACTGTGCAAAGCAAGGTGCTTCCCAACAACTTATCACATGGAAAAGGAAGTCCTTTCACTTCTGATTAAACATTATAATGTTGCGCCTTGCCCTTCATCTGGGACTTCTTCCTTTAAGCACCTGACAGAGTCACTGGTGACTAATCCCTCACTCCCAAGTCACAGTGTGGCACCTTGAAAGTACAAATAGTTGTATGTGATGTTGCTAGGCAACAGGTTGACCTTGTCCCGTACTAGGTTGACGGTACCATAAATTCCTTATCCGATGGTCATATAAGTGTTACTTTAATCGGTAGAAGGCGACATCGCCAACTCCCCCTTTCCTTTCCTGTCACTAGACCAGGTGAAATTATATTACTAAAGGTTAAAGTGTTTTCTTGAACGTTTTCATTGCATCAGCAGGTTGGGGTCAAGACATTCAGCTCATTGGAGACTGATTCACATGTCTGGTGATCCAGAAATTCATTTGTAGTGACACTGTGTGGAGAAAAACTCCATGGTGTCAAACCCAGGGTATTGCTCAGAATGGGCAAACACCTGTAGAAGCAGAAGAGAAAGTGAAACAATCTAGAAGTACAGAGACAAAGTTGGCTGCTGATGGAGCATGCTTTTTTGAACTAGTTAATATGGATTACAGGAAGGACATTTTTTGCTGAGTATATGAAGTGACGTTCTCCATAGCAAAGTCAGGGTGTAAAGTGTTACAGCGTGTGCTGAGTAAGAGCCAGTATGGTGACGCCTTTTGAAAGCTAAAACAATTTTGTGGGGATTTGTGATGACATCAGATGGCCAGCAATCAATTGCTGATGATGTAACTTCCTGTAGAGAATGTGGGTATACTCCCCTAGAGCCTTCATAATGTGGTGTCACCCTTAAGAAAAAGCATCTAAACAGATGAACAATTTATACACTAAAGTAACTTGTCCTGAACTTTTACTGTAATATTAAGATTGTAATAATATATTAAAGTTATGTAGCCATGTGGGATTAACACTCAACTAGAAATTTCCTCAGTGAGGCCTTCTTTATCGTTAGTCACAGAGATCCCTTCCGTGAATTATTTCAAGTGTTTGTGTTATCTCGCAAGTTTCCGCCACATGAGACAAGTCAAACTCTGAATGAAAAATAAATTACACTTAAATGACACTTTTAAGGGTGCAAGGTCGGACTTCAATGACTACAAATCACCTCTTTGGAGTTTAATACAGACCTGAGAGGAAAACAGATAAGATTGTGTATAAACATAGGCTATTGTCCATTGCAGCATCATTTGTCAAACTATTGGACCTAAACATGCCGACTGCCATATCAAGGGATTTGTGGTTCCCATTGATTTGACTGTGTATCTTTGTCTAATAAGCATATTCAATCTCACATAATTGTACAAAACAGAAAATGTGTTTATGACAAAGCAGGTAGATGATCTGTTTGAAAGACTTTGTGTAGGCCAGATACATATTTAATCTTTGTTTTGGTGCATTGCCCAGAGAAGGCCAGAGTTGACAAAACTTTAGTCAAGAACCTTGACATGCATTTACATTTTTTCTTTATTATATTTGTTTTCTGTATTATTATTTTTTACCTGAGTTTACCAGACAAGCTGTTTTTATCTCTGACTCGGCTAGCTTTCAACTTTCCTCTCATGAGGCCAAAACTATTTCAACTGGCCCTTTGCTTGGTCTAGTTTGTTTTTGCTCATAAAAGTCAACAGGAGATATTGAGTATCGGATTGTTAACTGGCAGATTCGTAGGTGGAGAAGAAGAGCACACAAGGCCTTGTTGTGTAGCTCTTTAACCATAGTCATTCAAAATATAGATTAGCCTTTAACTACCACCCTCAGAAAATCACTCTTAGCGTAATCAGTTATTTATGTAGAGAGTAAACAGAAATCCGTCATGAGATCCACAAACCAACTGTTTATTTGTGTTTAAAGTAACAGTTAGTGTATTCTAGTCAATTGCCAATTTTCCTATTATTTCTATTTTGAAGCAGTCTGGTTTCAGATTGTAACCCAAGAAAGTGGCAACCTCCAGTGTTGAAAAATGAAGCCAATGCAGAGGTGCACAAACCTGCATTTCATCAAGTGTCCACTTGAGCCTGGCTTCGAGGATTGTATTATTCTTTTAAACTCATCAGTTTTGATTTTATGATAAATGACAGTTATTCATTATTCGGCGCGTGGCTGACCTGACTCACAGGCTGGCGTGATGTAGCGGTTTGACAGCAGTTTTAAGACCCGCCTCAACTTTAGCTCTTTTGCTTGGTTTTGGGTTTACTGAGAGTTAGGTTGGCACAGTGTTATCCATCATGGCCACCTCCATCGACGGGCTTCCCAAGCCCCCTTCAGTAACTAATGATGTCACTCAGGCTTTGCCCACTAATATTTACAGACAGTCCATGATCCCAAGGTATGTAGACTGATTTTAACCAATGCCTAAACTGTAATGAAATCATCCTTCATACTTTTCTTTCAGATCAAGATAAACCCACATATCTGTGAGCTCTTTTTTTTTCTAGTTAAAATTCCACAGCAGTCAGAGGGCCTCAGTATGATTGTGCCCTCTGTAAGCTATTAGTCAGTAAAACCAGAGTCAGCAAAGTGTAAGTTCCGCACTGGCCCACCCTGGCCTGCACTGTCCTACTCTGTCCTGTCCTGTCCTGCTCATGGCCTGTTATTCCAGGACACTGACTCTGCACTTTACTGAGGTAGGGCCTCACACATGTACAGACTTATAGAGCACCCAACAAACTAATACAAGGGTGTAGGACTGGTTTGAAGATACTGAATTTATAATACAATGATCATTTACAAGTTCTGTGCAATTACCGGTAATCCCAATTTTGTCCTTATGGCGATATGATCATTTGCAATAAGCACATCTCTATAGTTTGAATTTCTTTTTCTGTAAAAAAAAAGCAATGGTTTCTCACTAATTATGTCTACATTTTACTTAATAGAATGAGGCCTGCATATAAAGACCATGCTTTCACCTAGTTTCATAACAGTCAGAAGAAGCTCAAGCTAGCTATCGGCTACCCTCAGATTTAAAAAGTTTCAAATGAGTGGTGGGGAAAAAAAACATTATTGGGAATTTTTTGTGGATTAAGGACAAATATGTTGCAAGAACACAAATGATGTGGAAAAACATGAGAACAGCAGATAAAAACCTTGAGCTTAACTAATATGCAGTTTTAATGTTTGTTTATCTAGCACATCATATCGTTATCGCACATTGCAGGCCTAACTTACACACGGGGAGATTTAAAGGAAGCAACCATGGAAAGGTGACACATTTTGTGGATCCCGCTCCATTCCCATCCGCCCTGTTTCCTCTTCTCTCTTAAGGAAGTTGAGGTTACGATGAGAGAAAAGTTAATAGGTCAAGAGTTGAGGCAGGAGAGGAAGACCTTCTTTCAGGAGCTGGAGCCCGTACTCCTCTCAAATAAGTGGTCGGATATGGAAAATTAACCCATGCCTTCATCCCAGGGCTGCAACTTCACATACAGGATGGGTTTCTCACACTCTTGAGACATTCTAACAGCGAAGGCTCTCTGATATAGCTAGGCTCCAGGGGCCCCCAGTACCTGGTAGAGTCCTCTGTTTCTTAGAATTCCGAGTTCATCAGAGCATTTTTTCCTTCAAGCTCTGCATGGAAAATGTAAGGAAAGATAGTTTAATGGAAAACCTATGCCAAATTTCCAACTGGATATCATGGATAGTCAGCTTAGAGAAGGAGTGGAAAAAACCTGCATGTTTGTTATCACTTGCTGTCACTATTATTGTTAAGTAATAGTATACATAAGGTCTGTGTTCAAGAGGCCGCTCTCATATTCCTTTGACTTGTTCATTGTCCTTGGATTTTTCCCTTTTCCTCCCTGCGTGTGGTATGAGATCTTTGTTAGGGTTGTGTGTGTGGGTCTGTGTGTATCTGCCCTTAGTGTGGTTACAGCAGGAATGTAAAAGCAAAGTTCTCCAAGTCTTATGACCCAGTGCCTCTGAGCTCATGTTTTGAGTTTTGGTTCAGATTGAGTAAAAAGCCTGCAGAGTGAGAAGCAGTGCTTGGAGCTGTGGGGTTCCTTAACAATCCCTTTCTTTGTCTTGAGTGGGATACTGTGGGTTTATGCAAAACCACTCATCCTCTCACTTTGTGTGTGTGCGTGTGCGTGTGTGTGTGATCCTGTTAGCCTTTTCTCAGTTTCAAAATGACTATCCAGTTGAATCCCTAGTCTCAACACAGAAAACAACACAGAGAAAACTGTAGCAGCGGGCATCAAAAGTGTCATGTATTTAAAAAAGAAAAAACGAATTTAAAATTATTATTTAATAAAGGAACTTACTTTAATAAGCCTGTAATATAAAGGTGACATTTTTTTTTCACTACAAAGTCATCTGATATGGGGTTGCACTCTGATCCCACCAGTTACTGTTTTGTGTTGAAGCTCTTTAAGGTATTTCACTCAAGGTTGGTGCGTGAGAGAATGAAGTACGTTACTAAAAGCTCAAGAATAATGTCTGTTTAATGCCAAGCTTATGTATAAACATTCTCACCCAACTGTTTTTGCGTCACTCCTGCTCTTACTCTCTTCCAGTATGTCTCATTGTTGAATCCCCTCTTTAACCCTCACCTTCTGTTGCCTGTACCATTTCCTCTCTCATCCCTGTGTTTTCTTGGCAGGTTCATGTGTGCCCAGATGCCTAACCCCGTCCTGGAGAGCATCAGTATCATTGATACTCCTGGAATCCTGTCTGGGGAGAAGCAGAGGATAAGCAGAGGTCTGTCTGAAATAAACAGCCAACCTTTTACCATTCTCGAACTCACTTGTGCTATACTGTTTTAGAAAACCACATTCTGCTCAAAAACGTTGAAATTATTCAAACAGAGATCCTCAGGATCTAAAATGAAAGAATAGCAATTCTCAAGTTTAAATATGAAAAGGAAACATGCTTAACCTACATGCACTTCCCTCAGTCTCTCTCTGGTATTTCTGTTTGGCATGAGCCTCACTAAGTCAACTCCAACAGTCTGGCTTGTAGTGCAGTCAAACCTGTATTTAACTCTAAACACCCTCAGGTCAGAGCCTAACCAAACGGGTCATGGTAATCTGACAGAGGCCTTCTCAGCCTGATGGTGGAATTGAGAGTCCTCAAAACACTTTGAAGTTCATTTCCTGTTTCTGTACCTGTGGTTTTCTGCAGCACGCTCCTTTTTCACATCCTTCCCCCCTTCTTTGTTTTTCTATCTCCTATTCAATTTTAGCCTGCAGCTAGCTTTAGACTAAATTAACGACAGCAGAAAACATTTCCTATGCAGCTGTGTGACATTTTTTTTGTCTGCATTGTACCATTTATCACTTTATATCTGAGTCATTTCCCTGTGGTCTGCTGAAATCAATTGATTTGTATTTTTAACCATGTACTCCAACGTGACTGCAACCTTCAGTTTTGCCTCATATGCAGCTTTTCCCTTACTTTTGATGATCCTACAAAATCAAGACAGATGATAACCGTGCAGCTGAACACAGC